GGAGAGAGGGAGGGGGAGAGAGAAACAGACAGACAGACAGATTGACAGACAGACAGACAGACAGACAGACTACCTACCTATAGGTGTATGACAGCGGTCCTCCCGTTAGATTCACTCCATGGGACCAGTGACTTGTCAGGCTAAGGTCAAAGGTCAATGAATGACCCATGTTCCTCAAAGTGCCTGACACCTGATATAATGTCACAGGGTAGGCGTGATAACAGGAATGTCAGATTTTACGGGGGGTTTTTTGTGTTTGTTTGCTTTTTTTTTTGCTGCTTTTAAAGAACCCTAAGGCGTAATAATAAGTCAATAATATGACAAACTTAGAAAAAGAGGAAACGTAGGTTCTTTAACTTTTAAAATAACAAACTGCCTCCAAATAAAGAGATGGTTTTGATAAAGACAAGCTTTATTTCCTCGGCGAAAAAAAGAGCTGCCTAGTGTCAAGGACACTTTGGGATGATTTTCTTATTTTCATAATAACAAATGTCACAGGTTAAATCAATTTTAGGTAAAGAAAAAAAATCCCTTCTTATTTGAAGCAAAAGAAGTCGTCTTGCTCTCAAGAGAAACTATTTCCACACCAAGGCGCCAAAAACGCCGTCTGAACTATTGTAAGTCCCTTTGCCTCCCAACGTACATTAATTATAGTTGACCCTTCTTTAACGGCCACATGTCCAAGACAATCACCTGTACAAACGACCCCCCCCCACCCTCCGCCCTCCCTTGCGTTTTTCTTCACCATAATGCTTTGTCCAACACATCCACTAGTCTAAAACAACTGCTTTTCTCCCCGACAATGGGTGACCGTCGTTAACAATGTTTACGAAGTGCCCTAACGTCCTCCTAGCTAGCCGGCAATGGATAACAGCTGCTAAAAAACAAAGGAAGGAGGAAAATAAACGGACATACTCTGACAGAAAAAGGAATAGAAAAGTCAAATGGACACGAGATACAACAATGAAAATTGAAACATAGAATATATGCGGATTAGGAGATAAGAAAGGGAAAAGAAAGTAACCTCTACGAATGTACACTGGGAAGCTGTGTCCTCCCTCAGTCTGCGTTTGTCTTGGTATTCAGGATCTAAACAGCTTGCCTCCTAAAACTAAATTGTGTTGGTAAGGACGCACACCTCATACAAATATTAAGATCACCAAAGCAACGTTCATAAGAAATATTATAGCGTCAGAATTGACATACCAAAGTACTATTATTATTACTACCCGTATTATGATTAATTTTGTGATGATGATGATGATGATGATGATGATGATGATGATGATGATGATGATGATGATGATGACGAAGATGATGATGACGTGTACCCTCCACACTCACAGCGCTGCCAGAGATTTCTAGGGGAGTTAAGGACGGATCAAACAACAGTGTCTTTGGGTCGATGTTGACCGGGCTTTGGTTATGCCCCTTGTTACACAGTGTCCAGCCTCTGTTGAGCAACCCCCAGTAATGTGGGCCTGGAATAAGGAGAAAGAATACATAAAGTGTCACGACACGACGGAATCAGGCGCTCGTTCGATTTTGGGCCTTATGGAGTTTTTGGTATCATCTTGAAGCTTGTTCAATAAAATTTATCTTGCTTTTGATGAAAGGAAAATACTTACTTTAAAAGAAAAAAAATTGAACAGAAGTAGAGATAACTGTGATTGAAGGAGGTGGGGGTTCGCTTTGTCTTAGAGGTAAAATTAGCGAGAAAATAGCCGCTAGAGCTTGGCGACTTCCAAAGCTTGAGTGTCCTTATACACTGTATTTGCACGTGTTTTATCAGTGTTTTTCCAGTAAAATCCACGCCCGAAAGCATGTTTTTTAAAATGAATATTTTAAATAGTGCTGAACCGAAACACACCCAAAAAAAAATCTTTAAAATTGCCAAACACACAGAATAGAAACATTATGGTTTTTTATTTCTTCATTTTGACAAGCGCCTGATTTCATTACGAAGCCGCGCAAAGGTCCTTGGGGTGGGGTGGGGTGGGAATGGTTGGGGAAGCTTGGCGCTTGCGGCGGTACTAACATGGCAAAGAGACTTCGGAATCATTTCTAGTTCTCATTTCTTCCTGGTCAAATAGTATAGCTTTGCGCTATCAAGATACATCAGTATCTGCAGTAATTGCTAAAAGGTTTTAAAAAGAAGACTTGAAACACACGTATGCTACAACTGTCATATTATATCTCCATACAAACTTTAAAAAACTTTTTCTAGTTTTCAGGATCTCAAAATAATATGTAGCCTATACAGTCAAATCTAATGTGATCTAACGGCCACCTGTCCAACAACCACTTCCCACTTCCTCCCTTACGTTAAAAATATTACAATGACACTGCCCAAGAGGTACATCTGTTTAATTAAGACAACTGTTTTTCTCCTTGACACAGGATGGCAGTCTAGAAGATTTCTGCTGCACTCCCAGAGCTTATCCCCTCAGAGATCACCTATTATACATGTATCTAGTGTATGTATGTATTTATAATAATGTATTGGTGTATTATTGTATGTGTGCCATTGTAAAGCTAATAGCTCTTCTGGGATCAATAAAAATGTAATTTATTTCATTTTGTTACAGTACAAATTGCTTCAGTAAGCAAGAAAAAGTTTCTTACCTGAGATGCCTTCGTCGTAAGCCCACCAGTTCGCCCACAGAGAACCTGAAAGAAAATAAACGATTAAAAAAACAGCCAAACCTGCTCTAATGTCCACTTGTCAAAGAAAATTTTCATGTACAAACGACCACTTCCAAATTCTCCCACTTCGCATTTTTCCCTATTATATAGACACTGTTCAAGATGTCCACCTGTCTAAGACAACCACTTTTCTCCTCGACAAAGGGTGGCCGATTAGGACAATTTCGACTATACTTAGATACGTGTATAGACACCGGATGGAAGCTGATGACAGCAAACGTTATTTCAAGAAAACGAGAAAATCATCGTCAAATTAGAGGGAAAGTGACGGGTTCTGACATTTTTGGCCGTTTTGAGTTATTAAGACCATGGGGCAGAAAACAAATGTTCTATTTGCTCTATCAAAATCATAAGAATATTCAGAGATGTCATCAAAATATTCAAAGATTTGCTTTCGTAAAAGCTTGACACATTCTGAAACAAACAAAAATGACGTCACATTTCTCAAAACTAGGTATTGAGCAGATACAAATTTGTAATTCTGAGATAATGAAATATCTTGGGTGTGTTGAATGTGTGGTGCACCTTTTACCACGGTAATCTACCGTAAGACTGGTAAGAGACAGTGACTTCGATCGATTTCAAGCCAATCTGTCTCAACAGCGTGCAGAAGAAGAAAAAGAACAACATACACACACACACATACACACACACCCACACACACACACACACACACACACACACACACACACACACACACACACACACACACATACATACGTATCTCTCTAAAAAGCTAAAAAGAAAAACCCATATCAACTGACAGCAGGAGCAAAAGGCTAGTAGTTTACTAGTGGCAGCAGCAAGCGTCGCACTAGGAATAATACTGCCACCATCACCACTACAACAGCAATGATAATTTAAAAAAAAACCCCAATAACAACAAACAAAAAAAACAAAAAACCACCACCAACAACAGCAAAACAATAACAACAAAAACAAAAACAGGAGTAATAACAGGTACCAAAACAACAACAACAACAAAAGCAACAACAACAGCTGCAGCAGCAACAGAAGCAACAACAAAAGCAACAACAACAACAAAACCGTCCCAACAAAAACAACAACAACAACAAAAAGAAGAAAAAAAATAACAACAGCAACAAATACAACAACAACAAAAACAGCAACATACTCAGCTACTGACTACACCAACACCCCCCTTAATTCACAAGTTTCTGCAACCTAGCCGCCTATTTCAGCACCATAGCATAAGCTATGAGAACCACAACGACAACAGCACGGGCACAAAGCGAGAGAATATTCCCCACTAGCGACAGTCCCACATGCCCCAACAGGGTTTTTGATTCCTTGGTGGTCACTGACCATCGGTATTTGCAATTCAGCACTGCAGGATAATGTAATTACTGGACAGGGTAACCACTTATTATGGAAACAGCAGGCACAAGATGCAAAAAAAAAGCAAGGGAAAAAGAAAGAAAGAAGAAAAACAGGAGAGGTGGGTGCGTGGCTGTGGAGGATCGAGGTGAAGATCGGAGACACAACAATTTATGGAGAAAATATGGAGTCGAGAAGTGATATGCCAAGGAGGGGGAGAAAGAGGAGGGGTAAATGGAGAGAAAGAGAGAGAGAGGGAGAAAGAGAGAGAGAGAGAGAG